TTTTAAATAATAATAATAATAATAATAAATAATAACAACAAGCACTGGGTTTAAAATTCTATTAGTATAACTAGGTACACACGACCACAAATATTAAATCAATAGAGACTGTGTGTAAATTGATTTAATGAACTATCTTAGTTGGAAATTGTTTGTCAAATGAACCTACCAAACTGTACAATCATTATGATAAGCAATATACCATGACATAATTGAATCATGTGTTCTATCTGTCCCCTTTTGCCTGCCTTTCAACTAATATTAATATAGTATTCTTTTAAGATGTTGTCAATGTAGAAAGGCTGCACAGTAGTATTGATGAATATTTTCCCTGTGTTATTATATAAATGCACATCTTTGTCAAATATATCCATACACTTATCAATGGTAATCCTCAGGGTATATAGTATTGGGACAATTAGCACTACAAATATATAATTTAAGTAAATATATTTTCCAAACTATCCCACTTTTTGTAAGCAAATTTCATAATTATATTCTATATACACCAGTTACAATTACATACAGTATATTTATACCGTCCATCATTTTATCATTCTAAGATTAAAATCTGTCAGGAGAATGACATATACAGCTTATATCAAATTATATTTGCACAGACAAAGCATATATACTCAACTATGGTAGGCGAGCAAGCCCAGGTAATCATATTTGTTTGCAAAATATCCAGTGTACAGTAATTGCCCAATAACTCAATTAGAAATTAGACTCTTGTCATGAGGCATGCCAGCTCATTTCCATATAAAATGAAAATGAAATGTAACAGGAGATACCACTGGAACTTGCAACTTGAACCAATTACCTTTCAATGTAAACTCCCCCTTAGTCTTCTAATCAATATTGCATCACTATTAGAAATCTCATTGATATTAACCTGCAATATTATTATACACTGTAATTACACACAGAGCATGATGCAACTCTTGACTCACACCATAGTTTTATTTTTAGCACTGGTATCCAATCAAAATGTGCCAGGAGAAATGTCAATTTCACATAATTTAACAACAAGCTAAATATAGTTACAATCACTAAATCTATAATTATTTAATTATATATTGCATTAATTAACCAAAATATCAAAAAAATACATTAAATATGGCATGAATACTCAAGCTAGAAATAGCCAATCAGAGTTACTACCATAAAGGCAGTTGTAGGACACAAACGTTTAATAACATGTGCATCGGGTCTTTATTTTTCTTTGCCCGCCAGCTGTGAGAAAAATGAAGGTCTGGGCACAGGTTATAATCCCATGTTAACAGAGATGAAATTTGCCTCACTAAAGCAAGCTGTCAAGTTTGGTATTGGGGCTGGTTTGCCTCCAGACAAGCAAACCTCTCTTACTCGGTAAAGACTGTAAAATGTCAAACTACTTCACCCCCCCCACCCCCTGCTGGTATAAGCAATAGTATTTATAAATAGACACAAACTTTAATTATTATGTTAATACAAACAAATCTGCATTAACTGTGGAGCCCATTTTCCACTTTATACATTTCTTGAACTGAACAATGAACTACAATGTAAAATATAGATAAATTTCACTTACTTTAGAGCCCTCAGTTCGAGTTTCACATAGTGGGCATCTCACAGTGTAAATATACTTCAATTCTTGTACTCAGATGAAAGATTAGTCTGATTAGATTCATTCCAAGCCTTGGTAATTAATTCGGTAATTTGTTCTCCGTTTTCTCCGTCAATTTCGAGAGATATTTCTTCCCATTATTTGTCTCATTTGCATACTGTGTTTGCATAACCTTGCCGCCATCCATGACTTGAATCGAATGCCTCGTTACGTCACAGTAGATTTTGATTTTGCAATTTGCATAAGTGAACTGATGCGAGCGCCCGCAATCTGCATGCGATGCATCGCTCAGCGGACAAATCTACCGTGACGTAGGGCTCTAAAACAATAGATTTGATGATGTCACAGTAGATTTCACGCGGAAAAGGACTCGGGACCGATGTATTCACTGATGCAAAATGGCTGAAAATCGATGCAAACCAAATCTACCGTGACGTAGGTGATGCATCAGCTTTCTACTGTGACGTCAAAGGATGTGGTAAAAATAACATATTTTGTCGCGAAATTATTGACGCTTAAGTGTCGCAAAATAAAAAGTAAATAACAAAAAGTACACATTTGCGATCGCACGTCGCATATTGGACTTATTTTGACAATTTCGACTGTTATTGAAACTATTTAAATTGGATTTCATCCTAAATAGTGTATTCCTGACATGGAGTCAAGTTTAAGGAAATATTTGCGGTTTGATAGCTCGAGATATTCAAAGATATTCTATTACTGAGTGCTTGACCAAGTATAATATGTCTATATATTATTTCAAGCAACATGATTTCTCAATTTTGACCGATGCATTCGCATCGTTGGCATCGGTCTGGATCCGCCCCTGCTTTGACCATAGCGATTGTTTGCGGTAATTACTTTGAGTTTTCCCACGCAATCTCGTGTTTGGTGTCACACATGATCACATGTTCTGCTAAAGCTGATTTTCCCTTGTTTAAAGTTGAAACAGCCTTTTGATGTTCTTTTAGCCAGGCTGACCTACCCTCTCTACATACTCTTTGGCTGTCGTAATTTACATTTTCAAAAGTTGTTCTAGCTATTAGAATTTGCAACTTTGACACCGAATTCTAGTTATATAGGCACGCGGGGATTCTTTTTGAATACTAGATTGTCTGGGACCTTCCCAGTAGATTGGTGTTTGCTGGTAATGTGAACAAGAGGAACGGGTAAAGCAATAGATCACAATCCTCGCTTCCGTTGCATTATGGAGACAATTATAAGCATATATATCAACGTTCGATTTGGGTGTTCAATTGGACATCAAAGGAAGGGAGATATGCTTTCGTACATCATTTAGTTGTGGCATGATGTTACAAATCTCATGCATCCGGGTTATTTGAAACACAATGGAAATTGTGCCTTTTACGAACAGGTAGAGAAATTGGCCATTTATTTATTTTGCCCATTTTTTATTTCGTTCTGTTAATTTTATTGTTATAGGTTTATCAATACAAGAATACGATTTTCAACTTAACATATGGAACGAACTATTATCTAAGCGTAAGTACCATGCTTGCGATATTTTGCTATAGAGACAATATTTTTTATTGGATCTAGAAATTACAATGTTTTATGTCTAAGCGTATAAGTACTATCCATGCATGCAATATTTTATTAGAGACCTTTAGAGTTTCATACGAAGACAAACCGTTAGCCGCACACTGCAGTTTGCTGGTCAGCCGTCGGTAGTTATATGTTGCATTTAGTTTGCAATTGTTTGAAACTTTTTAACTAAATAATTTGTACATGTTTATGCGTAAATTATAGAACGCTTTGACTAACATAACACGTTTCCATCTTTATGAATTTGTTTTTTGCCCTACTATACATTTAACCACGGTTTGTCTTCAAACGCCAACGCTGGAACGGATTTGGTGCACAAAATCGTTGTGCTGCAGCAGCGATTTGCACCGTATTGTACAAATTGAAGTCCAATAGAAGTGTCAACGTCATCAAACTCAAACTACTGTATTACGATTAGTTGATCATTGCAATGAATATACATAATTGATTTAAATGGACTCATTTTTGGGGGACACCATGTAGAAGGTTTTTTTGCCACTGGTTAATTTTTCCAAGCTTCAGGTTAGATGCAGGTTTATGCTCTAATGAAGGCCGAATTATACTGATTTTTATCATGTTTGAGATAATAATTTAAGTCTTGAAACTTGCTCACGACCCTAATCAAACTACCGCAGCTTGAACATAATAATCCAACTAAATAATGGTCTTAATAGTAATGACTATATTCTTGATAGTCATGGACTACAGTCATTTTAGTTGTACACTATCGCCACTGGAATGATTATGCTTCATCACACTTGCTTTAAATCATTTTACTCCGACTCTTGGTGAAAAAACACGTCTTACTAATGTGACGTCTGCGGTAAACGTTTCAAAATGCGCCACAAGAAGGCTGTCAATGCATATGGAAATCGTATTCTTGGGCAACAAATTCTTGCAATGAATGTATTTACGTACAGTCATGCAATACCCATTTACTTGAATCGTAGCTTGCGTGTCAGGCTATGTGCTTGAAATATAGTATATATATATATATATATATATATATATATATATATATATATAAACTGAAGCTTACATTACGTATAATAACATACCTAACATATATATGTTGGGAAATTGATAATTTTGTAATTAAAAGTGATATTTTTAGGCGTTTTTCATTTGTAAAAATATTCTTAAAAAAATTTCGTGTTACCACGACAACTACTTTAGATACTTCATGTTCGGAAAATGCAATGTTTTTGTCAGCAAGGCGAGGGTTTCTGCATGCATGTATTTTCTAGTATGATCTAGGAGCACATATTTGTGCATCGATATTATATTTGGAAACTGAAATTACAGTGTCACGTATCAAACCCAATTTTTCTTGAAAATTTTTCAGAACAATAATTTCAATTTCTGCTCCAAACCACAAGCAATGTAGGAATTCTTTATAGGATAATTCAAAGGAGTTAGTTTAAATTTAGAAATCTTTCATACTGCCGAAGAACAGCTTCCCAAAACTGTTTTGATGTTGATTCCAGGCCGTTGGTGTCCGGAAGTGTCAGGAATTTTACTTGTCGAAACTGGATTAAACTTTGATTGGTACTGTGAGATTAGTGATATAAACAGACACTTTTCTTTGAAGCAATAACGTACACTTTAGCTAAAAACAAACCTTTGGGGTTTACAGACCTGGCTTGCCCGTCGCTACTTACTTTCAATTATTTTCACAGTCCAATGTGTCCGTAGAAGAGAAGAACGGGTGTGACTTAAAAAGATGCAGGGGGAGAATTAATTTAAGTTATGTTTATGAATTCATTCCCCATTCGTTCCCCATTCATTCCAGTTCGAAGAAGTCGACGATTTAATTGTGTTTCAGGAGCTGAGCAAATTAAAAACTAACAAGGCCACTGGCCTAGATGGGATTAGTGCTAAACTGCTTAAAGACTCCGTTTGCGTTATTGCACCAACTCTCACAAAGATCTTTAATCTCTCGCTACGCTGTGGTGCATTCCCCGACATCTGGAAGAAAGGTAAAGTTACTCCCATTTACAAAACTGGCGATCCAACGTCATCGAACAACTATAGACCAATCACCATTCTACCAACTTTGAGCAAATTATTAGAACGTATAGTCCACCGTCAAATTTACAATTATCTACAAGAGCATACGTTACTGGCTTCCCAACAATTCGGTTTTCGCTCCAAACTCTCCACCACTGTTGCCCTGGCTCACTTTACTGAACAAGTACTCGTTAACCTCGACAACAAAAAGATTACGGGCGCCGTTTCCATTGACCTACGAAAAGCATTCGACACGGTAGATCACACAATCTTGCAGGAAAAATTAAAATCGATTGGATTCTCTACCTCTGTTCTTGTATGGTTTACATCATATCTATCGAATCGCACTCAAGTAACAACCATCAACAATTCAATGTCTACGCCTAAACCAGTTACTGTTGGTGTTCCGCAGGG